GTCAGCCAATGTTTGAACAAGGGAGTCAGCCTATGTTTGAACAAGGGAGTCAGCCTATGTTTGAGTAAGTTAGGGAATCAGCCTATGTTTGACAAAGGGAGTGAGCCTATGTTTGAGTAAGTTAGGGAATCAGCCTATTTTTGACAAAGGGAGTGAGCCTATGTTTGAGTAAGTTAGGGAATCAGCCTATGTTTGACAAAGGGAATGAGCCTATGTTGGAGTGAGTAAGGGAGTTGGATTATGTTTGACAAAGGGAGTGAGGTTCAATGTATTTATCATGCAGTAATGCAGTGGTGTGTTGGCAGGGACACCAGGAATGGGCTTCACACTATTCACCCATGTTGGGAGAGACTTCTTGGTCCAGTTGTAACTAGTTAACATGTAACGCACTCAGCTTACCAACTGAACTACCCCCATGGGCTTTTTTAAGCTAGCCAAGTTGGTAGAACATGTCATGAATTCATAATGGCCATAGCTTCTAGGCCATAACATTATCTCAAATCAGAGAGTATCATTGATCCTTCCTACATACAGTGGACCTATCTCTGACCTGACATTCAGCTACAAACCAGAGGGTGGAATGGACATGTATATACTTCTATCAACAAGAAATCAATACTGTGCAGCTAGTGCATAGGACACAGAAAACAAACACAACAAAGCCCAACACTGACATGCTGACATTTCAGTTGATACAGAAACAATGCTAAACTTGTTTTGTGCATGCAGGCATAGGCCCAGTTACCAAAGATTTCTTGATGTGCACAGATTTCAATCATATTGTCTGGGATAAAAATGTTTTATATATAATCCAAGATTCCCCCCAGAACATTAAATCTTCTGTCCCCAAATCTAAGTTAAAGAATGAGAGTTACAATCGTCTTATTCCTAACATTGCTTTGTGGAACGGGAACCTGATATACTAAATATAGTTCGGTAATATGTTTTCAAAAATAACGCATGCATACATCCAGTATTTGTATGTTATAATGCACCCCCACCCCCACCCGCTTCCAAAAAGCTGTATCCTAACTCTATCTGTTAATCTTGATCACTTAACCAGGGATGACTAGCCTTGCATGTTGACTTCTGTTAGGTCCAAGGCAAAGTCAAGCAGTGAAGTAGCGGTTAAAGCAATCCTTGTCCAAACAAATATCCTGGTTTGATTCCCTCAGTGGAACAATTTCACAAGGCCATTGGTAAGTCTGTGACTGTGATATTGCCAAAAGCAGCATAAGACCCCTTCTGCTCTTCTGGACATTCATTCAAAGGTTTAGCTGCGAAAATGTAGCTATATAAATGGCTCCACTTTTACAATCCGAAATTCCCTGGACGCTAAGACATAGTTACATATTCACGCCTTCATAACGTTCTACTCAAGTCTGATGCTGATTTTGCCCCGGCCTTCACAAGCACCGAATGACGATTGATAAAACACACACCCATAACTGGGTTGTTTCAAATGCAGACTTGAACACTATTTTAGTTATAACACAGCATGCAAGCTTGATGTGGGAGGAAAACCCAAAGTGATGCATTACCATTTTGAGTGAGCTTCTGAATTCATCAACACTACAAAATCACCAACACGGTGACTGCCACACTGGATAAAAACAAGACATGGATTTCTTTTTTGAAAACAACCTTATACAAAATTGATAACAGCCTATCCCCCCAGCTGGCTCGTTTCCAAACACCCTCACCATCGTTCTCTCAATAAGACAAGCAGCTACCCTAGAACGCCGTTTCACAGACAGGATTTCTAGGATTATTCCCACCGTATCACTGGAAGCGTGATCTCCCATGCAGTAGTGATGAGGCTGTCGACAGGTGCTTGGAGCTCTCCCAGCAGTGTCTGTACAGTAGCTAGGCACTAACAGATGGCAGCAAACAAGAGTTGTTGTAGGCCACAATGGGACATACTACAGTGGGTACTAATTGAGGTTATATCTCATTATAAAGCTTCATCCACATTAGATCTAATCATGATACCGGAATTATTTATAACTGGTCAAGGTGTTTTTGCTTTGGATGTAGAATTTTCAGAATTAAGCCACTTCAGACAATAGGGGTCATAATATATATTTCAGGAGGTCATAATATATTTTAGTGCTTCCTTGAATTTTTAAGTGCTCTAAATATCTATTTTGTATTTTTAAAAATGTGTTTACAAAACATTGGTTTTAATCTAACATTACAGGGATTTATCTAACATTCCAAAATGAAATTGGGAAAGAGATAATGTTATTCAAAATTGTGATTTTCTTGATAAAATTTCATATTTTCTTAGAATTCAGGGGTATTATAATATTTCATCCAATGTAAATATGTACGTAAATCTAACAGTAAAGCCTCTTCTTGTTTTTTTGGTCCTGTTATCAGTGAAAAGCAAGTCTATTCTCAAAGCAATAATATTAGTTATTACTATAACATCACTGGACACATTTTTAATTCCAATTTGAGAATTTTTACAGACATTTGCTCCAGATTTGTAGCTGAATAATCCCTGCAAAAGGATAAATTTAGACTAATCCCAGAAATAAAGTTATCTCATTTAAAAATATATATCCACAAAATATACAGTAAAAAACAAATTGAGCCCAGAACAATCCGTAATCCTTAAATTGCTTAATCATGTTAATCATCATAGACTTGAGTTTGACTTCATATTTAATATATTCCCTAGGGTCTGGGAGACAGACTAGCATAAATTTTGTACAAAGTAATGTAATTTGCAAGACAAAACAGTGATTCTAAACATGTTATCAGAACCTACTTCTACAAAAAGTTAACCTCTTTTACAAGGACTGTGTTTCTGAAATTAAGATATTTTTTTCAGATCACCTAGTTATGTTTTCAGATGAATTATTAGCTCTCCAAATTAGAACTGCCTTGAAGATGAACACCATTTTTGCTAGACTAAACATTCTACAGCTCTTAATCATTTGTATCCTTTAAAAAATGTGTACATTAAAAAATTGAGAAATAAAAGAAGCAGCAATATCTAGCTTCTCCAGTACCCATCATACACATATGTAAACACAATATGTCAGTCTGTCCTGCTATATGTTGAAGGGATCAATATAATATCTCTTATCTCTTTGAAGATCGCTTGTCATTGAACATGCATACAATCAACAGAATGTTTAGTTTTCAAACACCACCCACCCAATGCTCACCTCTGAAATTAAATCACAATATTCTTGCAACAATCATTTCATCAAATCCATGCAACTGTTTAAACCTTCCCAATATTTTATGTTCAATCCATTGATGATTTCTGACTGTGTACATCACACTGCTTCAACTGCTACTGTATTTGTAGTCCTCTTCATGTGTAACTGGTTCCTTAATTATTCAATCCAATATGAAACTCAATGCATAATTATTGATTTTAGGATTCTGTGAACCTGATCTTTGGAAGCTATTTCACTTCAGAATTTGAGAGTGAATCAGCCTCTAGAATTTCGCCAAGCAACACAAATGATGAAAATTTGATATTTATTCATCAGGTTTTTTCCCTTCTAACAAGAAGGGAATGCATTCACCAGCAAAAGCCTCAAAGCAAATATGTTTTCTTTCTCAGCAATTTTTCATTAAAATTGTTTCATGTTATTGTATGTTTCCCTTCTCTGTTTGATTCATAAATATTTGAAAGACAACTAATAACAGTTAGAAATGGATTAAATAGAAATACTGAAGGATTAAATCAAATACATCACATCCATGTTTTGTGGGACTTTTTATGTTTTAATTCATTTTGAAACGAGTACAATATTCACTGAATAATTAATTTAAGTCCCATTCCAGATGCACACATTATTATTTGTGCTTAGCTGTATACTGTATAACTGAAATTAATATAAACATTTACATTTACACTTCTCATTGATTTGAAACCTTTGATGAAATTCCTATTGACTGAAAGTAAATTTATTTGTATAGTAAATACACATTCATGGCTAACTTAGCCTCAGTAAATGTAATACAGAAAAAGCAAGTATGCAATGAATTTAAAAAATGAGAAGTTTGCACCATTTATATAATTAGCCAGCCTAGTGATATAATAGTTCTACACATACAAAATGGGTATCTTATTAACAAGTAGTATACAAGTATCTAGTCTTGTTGCAAATTGTTGCCAATTTGTCAGTTATGTAACCACTTGAGCACAAGGGTGCTACAACTATGCAAATTGAATAACATTGCTCAACTGGTTAAATTAATAGTATCTCTATTTAACACATCGTTGTAAAAACAATTGACATATGGTATAAACGAATTATATGTAATGGCAAATACAATTCATAAACCTGATAAAGAATAAATCTTTGACACTGAAGTACAAGAGCACCTTAAGGGAAAGTTTCTGTATCTACTTAGATTAAACTAAATGATATTCGATTACTTTCATTTTTATTGCAGTTAAAAGAGAAATTTTTGTTTCATAAATTCTGACAGAAATTTCTATTAGAACTTATTTTAGCACGGATTAATGTCATTAAGCTACCTATCCTAAACATGAGTATCTTGTATTCATAGTACATACTCTACACAACAAACATAACAATATATATTAGTCGTTCATTCAAAAGCATCATTTGCCTCTGTTATCGCTATTGTAGGTAGTGTCAAACCAAAGCGATAAATATAGCCATATATCATTCATGAACTGGTATGTATATAGAAAGGCCTGGAAAATAGAACCATCCTGGAAAATAGAACCATCCCAAGCAAAGCTGCAATATATAACACGTTATTTCTCAAAAGTTGTTCCAGGATCTGATGAACGAACGTCACACTACGTTCTAGAACCATTCGAGCGAACAATACACCGCAATTTACACCTGTGCATGCACGTTGAAGACTAATGCATTGCAATACACACACATGATGCGCTGGGTCCTCAGGACTGTTGATTCTAACAACAAGAGCCAGTTTCAAGCGGGTAATCATTGCGGTATTATTCATACCGTCATCAACTGTAAAGCTATTCTTACCTTGGAAGAAAGCTACAATCTTCTCTGGGTGTTTAGCCTCAGATACCGCCACAGTGCACAGCAATGTAACAATGCAGATCCATGGTAAGGATGATAAACGTTCGTAATACTGGTGAGATTGAGTCGCCATTTTCTCGTGGGTCGTTCCTATCAGACGAAGTAACGGGACTGTAAAGTGTATCACAAGCTATACGTCCATCCTAAAATTATCCAGACAAGATCGCATGTATATGCTACTGTCGCGAGCCACGTAACTCCAACACCGATCCGCGTTTCCTCATCCCTCGTGTTTTGACAGTTTCACAAACGAGGTTTTGGTCACGGATAATCAACTCTCTGCTAACCTTAACAGAGGACGGTTCTATTTTGTCTTGAGGGGAGAAAGGTTGCCGGTCGATATATCCATTGTGAGTAGCTACACCTCTGAAATCATTAGTACATGGGGGGTTACCAAACACGTTCTTGTTTTGTAGCAGATATCATAAATAGACATTTATTCAAAGAATAAATGAGTTTTTTTCGATCGGGAATTGACAAGGCGACTAACAACACCCCCTATGGAAAATAACGGGTTGAGGAGGCAGTGTGAAAGGGAGACAACCACGCCGTACAGGTGGTTCTAACAGGTTCATTCCCATACATCAAAGCACAAAGCTGCTTGGACGAGCAAGAAGACAATCGTGAAAAAATCGATTCCTAACAGTCACCTCGCGGCACCTACACATGAATAATATCCTTAAACTCAATACTGAACATTTGACTACACAAACCTCTTAAAATAAGTTGTGTGTTTTGAGTTGGTCGTAATTAAACAGGATTTAATAACATGTGAGCAGTTAGCACCATTTACGCCAAAGAGATATCTACGTCGGTATTGGGGTTGTGTATGCGATATACTTAAAAAGACATTGCAGAAATTCTGTAAGCGTTTTGGCATTGATGTCAATCACTGGATTTTCTGTTCCAGACTCGATAATTTACTGACCGCAGTTTTATAGCTGTAATATTCTGGTGATAAACGTCAGAAAAACATATTTTTATGTTTGTAAACGTACGTCGTAAAGACGTAACTCGACTTCTATACAGTGATACCTCGTTAATCCGACCGGTAGCCTCCCCACTAAAATTGTCCGGAGTAACAAATGTACGGATAAGTGAGCCAGCGGACCAAAGTAATGTAATGTAATGTGGATTCGAATATCAGATTTTCACAGTATATGATCCTTAGTTTGTCAGCACCCAAGTGATTTCCACCGAAGTGGCGAACATCTTAAGGCCGGCACCCACGTGAAGCAACTCTGCACAGTTCAGCAGTTTTTAAAACCTACATTCAGACAGGATATCAGAGCAGCAGTTCAGGAAAAAAATGTAAATAGAATTGAAGGTATAACAATCAGTCATATTGGACATATATAGTGGTCGTTTAATGAATAATATTGTATAACCACTGAGAACCTTGTCCCGAGTTCTTCGTTCGTTGTTTTACGTTTGTTTGTTTGTTCTTTAACGCCACATTCAACGCAATATTCCAGCTATATGACGGCGGTCTGTAAATAATCGAGTCTGTACCAGACAATCCAGTAATGAGTAACACCATGAGCATCGATCCACGCAATTGGGATACGATGACTTGCATCAACCAAGTAAGCGAGCCTTGCCACCCGATCCCGTTAGTCGCCTCTTACGACAAGCGTAGTCGCCTCTTACGACAAGCATGGGTTGCTGAAGACCTATTCTACCCCGGAATCTTCACGGGTTGCATGCGTGAGTAGAAAGCATGAATACTGATGTATCTCAATCGGAGAAGACAGGTGGAAATGAATGTAATATTTGGTTCCTGGGTCCATTGCATTATCCCTGGTACGACACGGCAGCAAAATATTTTGAGCAATCGAACACTTTTGACGTCAACGCGCTGCGGTAATCTGGGTTGCTGTTAAAAAAAACGTAGCTACGTCGAGTTACGCGCTGTGGCGGTGCTTCAGTGTGGGCTGGCCGTTAGACTTCCATAACGACGGGCTTGCCTCCAACATCAAGCTGACACGCCATGATAGAACTTAAATACTGTTTAAAGCGGCGTTACACCCAACCCCAATGTCGGTGTGTATGTGTGATGAGGACAGGGCATTCAGGCAAGAAGTAGGCATCCCCATTGGTACCAATTGTGCAGGACATGCTCCTTCGCGAACACCCGGTGTTGTCAGTAATTTTCAGTGATCCAGTGATTTCCACCATTATTTTGTATTTTACGCCTAATGGAACCTGTTTCGGTGGATAACCGAGACTGGATATTCTCTGACGTTGACTTTATTTATTATGATTATATTTTTATATTTCTTATAAAGAGTTGTTTCATCTCACCATGTGCGCTGACAGCAAAGGTTTGATTTCCCACTGTATCCTAATCCCAGTATATAAAACTGGCCCCGCACACAAGGAATACATGTTTTCAACTTCTACTGGTCGGGCTCGTTCTGAGAGGCCCGTTTTATAACCAGCCCTACCACGGCCTGATGTGAACGAAAACCCACAGCATTACCACAGGTGTGGGACAACGGGCTGTATAGTATGTGGCTACATTACCATAGGTGTGAGACAACGGGCTGTATTATGTCTCAACATTACCACAGGTGTGAGACAACGGGCTGTGTATTATGTGGCAACATTGCCACTGCTGTGAGACAACGGGCTGTATAGTATGTGGCGACATTACCACTGATGTGAGATATCGGGCCGTATAATATGTGGTAACATTGCCACAGGTGTGAGACAAGAGGTTCTAATATGTGGCAACATTAACACTGCTGTGAGACAACGGGCTGTATTATGTCTCAACATTACCACAGGTGTGAGACAACGGATTGTGTATTATGTGGCAACATTACCACTGCTGTGAGACAATGGGCTGTATTATGTCTCAACATTACCACAGGTGTGAGACAATGGGCTGTGTAGTATGTGGCAACATTACCACTGCTGTGGGACAACGGGCTGTATAGTATGTGGCAACATTACCACTGCTGTGGGACAACGGGCTGTATATTATGTGGCAACATTACCACTGCTGTGGGACAACGGGCTGTATTATGTCTCAACATTACCACAGGTGTGAGACAACGGGGTGTATTATGTGGCAACATTACCACTGTTGTGGGACAACGGGCTGTATAGTATATGGCAACATTACCACTGCTGTGGGACAAGGGGCTGTATAGTATGTGGCAACATTACCACTGCTGTGGGACAACGGGCTGTGTAGTATGTAGCATTCGAACCAAAAATAGTGGATCGTAGCTGCACAACACATTATGGCGTCTTAAGCCACCGAGCCCCGTTCCACAAAGCGATTTTAGCCCTAAGACCGTCGTGAGTCTGTGTTGAAGTATAGAAGGTACCAACGACTTAACGCTAAGGTCGCTTCATGGAACCAGGGCCTGGGTGCCGTTGTACTATTAACCTTATCGGTACGACTGTCGTAACTCCATGTTACGGTGTGGGAGTTACGATCACCTTAGCGCTGAGATCGCTTTGTACACCGGCACCCAGGCCTTGCTGAAGGACGTGGCGTCGTGATACCGCCACCTGCACTCTGGTCTCGAAAACTCCTAGGTCTATTTTCAAACAATACCAATTCGGGTACCTCCCACTTTCAAAATTATTTGCTTGAAAAAATGTTCACTCAATTCAAAGAAAGCCATAAAGTAAAGCACCTATAACCGAAGGACGTAATAAAAAAACAGAATAAGCTGTCAAAATATCGCTAGGACACCCCGAGCTGTTCCTGTAGTTTCAATATCCCTTGGTGCGACAGTGTCATAAGAAAACTTCGATTTCTCCCAATGTCTGTAAATATCCACAAATTTCATTCTTATGTGTCAATAGAGCCATAGATCACACTCCAAATGCCTCTAAAATCAAACATATTTGCCAAAGTATCTCTCCGTCCCGAATCGAAATTCGCCAACAAGTCACCATGTCTGTCCGGGGTATTTTTCGATGTGTTATTTTTTGCTTCATTTCAATCTGAAATGGAAATGCCATATGCATGTGGGTCTGGTAATGCTATCAAGTCGCCAGTATGTCGGTGCTGTCCGAGGTGCTATCAAAATGGCAATGTCAGAGCTATATCGGAACATCAGACGAGCATCCTCATCTTGAATGCATAGAAGCATCCTTCCAACGTCTCCACACAGAGGACGTCCATGGACGCTGTAACTCCAACATGCGACTCGCACACTGGACTTGATGTATCTGCATGATGAATTTATGCAATGAAATCAAAAGATTGGCCCCTTCGAACAATATAAGAATTCACATGAGCAATAGCTTTCAGGCATAAAGTACGGGCCACTGGTAGAATACTGAAAGTGATAGATATCATCGACTTTTTCCCATCAAGTTTTAGAGTGCTTGGGAATTTTATAGGCTCTGTAAACTATCGAAACGGTGATATGTCGGGAATAGGAATAATGTACATATATCATAGCGGCTGTAATGGCTGCTTGGATTACCAGCTGTGGGTGACCCCGAGTACGTTCTCGATTCCGGCAACTTTAGCGGTGACGTTTTTTCTTAATATTTTTCTTCTACAAAATGTTGACGAATAAAACAAACATACACTACAACAATATTCATCAATACTTTGATATCTAGAGTAATGTGATTCGTTCGAGTATTCATTACGTGTACCAGAGAATACAACACCGGTACACTTAAAGATTACTCCTACGTATCACATTACTCTTATATTAAATTATTGATGAATGATGTTTAAGTATATGTTTGTTTTATTCGTCAACAATTTGGCGAATAATATTCGTATTATCAAACTACACGTCTGTAATAGTAAAGAATAAAGAATAGTAAAGAAAATGCAATGCTGACTCAATTGTACCTGCAATCATATCCCACTTGAAAGCTGGAATTTTTAAGGACAAAAATATTATTACAATTCTTAGTAGTATTTACACATACTTAGAAAAAAAGATTGCCAGCCCCGAGAAAATAATTTATTTGAGCCCCATGTGTGAATTGTTTTTAGTGACAGAGTGAGTATGGTTTTGCGCCGCTATTAGCAGTATTCCAGCTATAATACGACGTGGAACACTATGAAAAGGCTTCACGCATTGTCCCACGTGGGGATTCGAACCCGAGCTATAACCAACATGTTGTCCCATCGCCCTGGTTTATGATTAGAATTCTCACAGATGCATTGATACATGCACACGTCCTGCATGCATGTATGCATTCAACGATGCATCGGTGAGATAATCATAAGCAATATGAGTGCGGAGGGTTAGACGCCTCTTTTAGCAATGTTCCCGTAAGACGGGATACCAGGAACAGGCTTCAT